CTCTTTTTAAATCATTGAATCAAATACCATTGTCAAATATATCAACGCTAAATGCTTCAAAGTAATCAAGAAGATTGATTTAGACTCCGTCATCATTAAGTTAAAATTAGAAATTGCCACAATAAGATGATGGAGAACCTTTCACATGCTATTTTTGTTCTAGGGGATTAATTATTGATATTTTTATCCATTATCCACTAGGACTAAATCATACTCCGTACGAATTTTATCTAAGTTTGGCCTATATTATGGCGATCTATATTATTAAATATCTCTTTTATGCTATCCACGTTGATCTCTTTCCTGTTTACCATATTTTTCATGGGACTTTAAGATTCTTGGTGGAACATGCACATTGCACTAATTTAGATTAAATTAACATATATACTAAGATTTGTTTCCCTAATAATTTTGATCTCCTAGCTCCTAGTACAACCATAAGATTTTATGTGCTTAAATTAACCAAGCCTTTTTGTCTTTTGGTTTTGTGACATTATCCAGGAAATGATATTTCGAGGGACAGACACGGTTGCAATACTTCTGGAGTGGATTATGGCAAGGATGGTCTTACACCAAGACATCCAAGCCAAAGCACAACAAGAACTTGACACACACGTGGGGAACAATAGGCACGTGCGAGACTCCGACCTTCCAAACCTGTCTTATCTACAAGCCATAGTCAAGGAAGTTCTCCGAATGCACCCTCCGGGCCCATTGCTGTCATGGGCCCGTCTTGCGGTCCATGATGTCCATGTGGACAAGGTCTTTATCCCAGCTGGCACAACTGCGATGGTCAATATGTGGGCCATAACCCACGACCCATCCATCTGGAAGGACCCGATGGTGTTTAGGCCTGAGAGGTTCATCGAGGAGGATGTGTTAATAATGGGCTCGGACCTCAAGCTCGCACCATTTGGATCTGGTCGGAGAGTATGCCCAGGCAAAGCGTTGGGTTTAGCTACCGTGCATTTGTGGCTTGCTAGGCTTTTGCACCAATTCAAATGGTTACCGACGGAGCCTGTAGACCTTTCAGAGTGTTTGAGGCTCTCTCTCGAAATGAAGAAACCACTCACATGCCGTGTCGTCCCACGCAATGCATTATGAGTTAATGAAGCTCGCTAAGCTAGTGTAATGAATAATTAGGGGAAATATAATGCAGTGCACTGATTGAAAATTGTGCAATGGTGTGAGTAGTGATCGAAATAGCTAGGGCGTGGTTTGCATAATGTATCTGAGGCCAGGAAAATGGGGTTAGGAAAGGACACTCCAAACCTCTACATAAAAATGTATGTAAGGAATCTTTGGCTCATGAACACTGTAAAATATTGTTTTGACTATTTTATAAAAGCTAGTGGTTTGAACTTTTGCATGAATGTTCAACGTCTTACTTTATTACTGCCAATATATTCACGGTCCTTTATAAACCATATGATGTGACTCAATATAAAATAAGCTCGTTAATAAAATACTTAAGTAATAATTTAATTATTAACATTCACATTATGTAGTTTATAAATATGGTTAAATATATGGTTTCTCTAGTATTATTTTTAATAGTTTATTAATTTATTGACTAATTAATAACTTATTTGTGACAACTCATCCCTAATTTTACAATTTTATAAGGGAACATTCGATAAAATTAGGGACGGGTTGTCACATATTAATTTATCAAAGTATTCAGTATTTCCCTAAGTATAATAATCGTACTTAGCTTCTCGTTTTATTTCATTGTTTCCCTAAGTTTAATAACTTAGCTTCTCGTTTTATTTCATTGTTTCCCTAAGTCTAATAATCATACTTAGCTTCTCGTTTTATAAACTGACAATTCTATGTATTTTTTTAACCAAGTAAAATCCATGAATCAACTTATTTTACCCCAAGATAGTTTGTACATTGCTCAAAGTACTACATTATTTTATTTTATGAACATTTAACTAAACAAAAACCCTATTTAAATAAACAAAACAACACATCATATGGTTCTAAAAAACGTTAGGTGCTACTCGGGCGGTGATCAGGGGCCTAGCGCCTAGGCAGACTAGCCAGATTTAGACTTATTATATATTATATGACTATATAATTACTTATTTTATTTATATAATATGATAGTCTAAGAAAAAAAAGCCATTATTTAAATAATTCATATAACATTTTTTAACATTTATATATAACATATATATATATATAAATTTATTTATATCTCCAACTTTTTAAAAGAGAACAAAACCATGCAGTGTGCCAGTAGCCAGTAGGTGGTTTCAAAATAAAAAATCGGGTTCCACTCCACCTCTCTCACATTCCCAAAGGTGGAGCCCAGATCAAAACCACATTTTGACCCATTGGAAAGTGAAAACACTATTCCCATTAAACCCTTTCATTTCTTCTTCTTCATTAGCTATTTCAGAAGCTCAAAACTAAATCTGCAAGCCTGCAACTCATGCCGACGAGGCTCTGTATCTCTCTCTCTATTCGTACTCTCTCTTCCCTATCTATTCATAGACGGCAAGCTTCAGAAGCTCATCAAGGCTAAGCTTCTACGTACGACATCGGAAGTTAGCAGATTTGTTGCGAGAGTTGCAGTGAGTTTGGGATTTGTAGTCGCCTTGACTGCAGCATAGCACCGCATAGACCGTCTAGAACGCCTAACAAGCACCTATGCCGATTTTTAAAACACTTACAAACAATGATTTCTCATCTCAAAGGTGTAAAGAAATCAGGAAACTATTAATTTACATATTTCGTGAGACCTATACAAATTTTTTGTAATGTATTATCTTTTAAATATAGCGATTATTAATTTAACAGTTATTCTTAAGTTGAGATCGGCTCAAAATGTTATTTAACTGATGATATTAAATTATCGAGATTCTACTGTATACCACTAAATAACTAGATATGTTACAACTTTCAACCAAAGTAAAAGAGATAAACCGAATCTTGGTTTTTAAAGATTAAATATGATTAACAATCACACATTGACCACATACATGTCAAAGCCGCCATAACCACTAAACATTGTCAAATTAATTGAGCCCGAGTAGGTAAGTAATCCACATGTGGATGATACGATCTAAACTGTAAAGCATGCATGGCTTTGGTTCAGTTGTCACAGCCCGTCCCGGGATTTCTATATCGGGGGCGTGAATTGACGTAACTACCCTTGACGGACATTCGGGTACGTGTGTGTGCGACATTATTGAATTAATTTTGTAAGTTTTGGGATTTTAATTTTGGAATTTGGAAATTTTTGTGGTTAGGGAATTGGATGGATGGTGAGGATTGTGTTGGACCACACAATCACACACACACGCACTCCCTGTCTTCTCTCCCTCCCGTAGCTCTCTCTGTCCCTCTCCCTCACGATCTCTCTCTTTCCCCTCACCCTATACGTACGGCCTTCACCCAAAACCCTTCAAAACTCGACGGATCGAGGCAAATAAGGTATGCATCTTCATCCTTTCGTCGTCCTGAGTTCATTGGTGCTAGTTTTAGGAAGTGAAACCTTCGATTTCACATAGATCCCGAACCTCCATTTTTGAGGTACTGTTCATGCGAACGTAAAATGTTGTGTTTCAGGAGATTTCAAGCTTGTGGTGAGCTTTAGGAGGTTCTAAGGAAGCTCGGGGACGTTCGTTGGAGAGTTTTGGACGTCGGGATCGTAGGTTTCAAGTTTGGCCGAATCTTGGTTTTTGCAAGGTGAGATTTCGTAGTTTTTAGGCCCTAAAACAAGTCCAACGTGATTGTACACTCTTAGGGCTTCAATTTGGTATAAAATACGAAGAAAATGGGTGAAAAACGAAGGAGAATAGTGAGTTTGAAAATCGGCCGGAGTTCGGCCGGAGTCCGGCCACCGGAGAACCAGTCCGGCGAGGCCCTGCGAAGAAGACGACACGTGCGCTGCACGTGCTGCGCGTGGCCAGCGCGTGGACCCGTGCCACGTGTGGCGCGTGGGGGCGCGTGGGGCTTCCAAAAATTTTTCTAAAAATTTCCCGACGCTCGTGACGTCGAGTAGGTCGATGTGGTATATTCATATACCAAAATTGAGCATCGTATGAGAAGTTATTTCGAATTATTGGTGATATGCTTAAAATTAATGTTTTTATAGTTGTTTCGCATATAGGTGAGACGTATCCCGAGGACGACCGCATCCAGGGACGCCACGGGGGTTACGACCCGTCGACTTATCAGTGAGTGGGCAGTTTTGTTTTCGTATTACCTATATACTATTGTTTTTCCCAGAAAAATGCTTTTATGCGAAATTATGTTTTGAAAATGCCATGCATAGAATTATTTGGAAAATGTGAATTTCATATGAGTTATATGATTGATATATGATGCATACATGTTGCATGGTGCTGTGGAGGCACAGGTAAGTCAGGTGAGTTCGTTTATTCATTGAATTGTTGTTGTTGAGATGTTTGAGCTCATAATCTGCACCCTAGGTGTTAGTGCTTATATTATTCACCACACCGCACGCTCGCCTTGGATCCAAGTAGGTGGATGTCGTACAGACCATGTGAGGGTTCCGACATGCTAGTCGTACAGATCACTAGGCGTGATTCCGACTAGTGGGTGACCTTAGTTATGCGCGCTGATGATATGATGAGAGAAGCACTAGAGCGTATTTTTACACCTTTCATCGTATAGACTACCTTACGTAGTTCCGAGTGATGTGCAGAGTAGGGCCGTATAGGTCACTGTGGTGACTCCGGCTTAGTGGGATTTGAGCTATTGAATTAATCGTATAGGACCAACTGCAGGGTCTCCGATTGATTCCTTATTATTCACCTGATTTATATTTTTATTTATGTCATGGCATGTTTTCTTGAAAATGTTAAAGATTTGAGATTTAAATGTTGAGATTTTATATGGTTATATAATTTCTGGGAAAGTATACAGGTTTTTACGGCGAGGGGATATAACTGTTTTAATGAAATGTTTTGGAAAAAACTAATTTGTTTTACTGACCCACTCATTTTGTTTTGCGCCCCTCCAGGTTCTAGTTTAACGGTGGTTGGCTCACGAGGTCCTTTCCGGCTTTCTGACAGATTTGGGACATGTAGGACTCACCTGAGGGTGATGTATTCTTATTTTAGTCCTACTTGACTGCAGTTAACCTATGCTCTGAACTTATGTGTTTACTTGTAACTCGTCCGGTTATGTCCGTATGTGGTTATGTTGAGTTTGGGTTGAATTTCTGTTGTTATATGTTGTTATTACGCTTCCGTGTCGTGCTTATGGTTACGTCACGCCCACGTGACGGCCAGCACACCTGGATCCTCCGGATCAGGGTGTGTCAGTTTGGTATCAGAGAGCTTAGGTTGCAGTCCTGTAAAATTGTTAATGTCTTAACGATCTTTTGATGTTTTCTGTCAGAATCATGCCGCCTCGTAGAGAGCGTAGGGAGTCCCGCCGTACTCCTGAACCTAATTTCCCGGATATTACTCAGTTAGGGGAAGCGATGGCCCAGGCTTTACAGAATGTGATTCGTCCTCCCCCTCCTCCGAGGACACCTCTGGAGACCATGTACAACTTGAAGTTAGATCGGTTTATGGGTAATGAAAGTCATGAGGGGGCAGAGAAATGGCTAGATCATATTGAGAAAACCTTCCAGGTGATGCAGAGTCAGGGGAATCTCCCTGCTAATAGGTGGGTGGAGACCACCACTTGGTTTCTGGGTCGTGAACCAGCAGCATGGTGGATAAATCAGGCTAGGTACATGTCACCTGAGACGGCAGCCAACTGGAAAGTATTCAAGGAGCATTTTATGAAGAGATTCGTTCCTCCTGAGTATATTGACCGTAAGAAGCAGGAATTCACCAGGTTGAAACAGAGAAATATGTCGGCACATGAATATTATAGAAAGTTTACTGATTTGTCTCGTTATGACACTGATATAGCTGGTAATCAGGGAGAGATGCTTCGACGTTTCAAGTTGGGATCTAAGAAGAAGTGGCGTACCTTTGCCAATGCACTTCCCTGCGCTGATTATCATGAGTATTTCGAGATTTTGGTTAGGATGGAGGACTCTGATAATCTTCCTGACAGTGAGGATGACGAGGACAAGAATGAGGGTCAGAAGAAGAATGATAAGGGTAAGGGTATTTCTATTCCTGGACCTCGACAGACACAGAGTTTTAAGAAGAGTGGAGCGAGTTCGAGTTCTTCTAGTGGGGGATATAGTTTTACTGGCCCGAGGAGAGGTGGTGGAAGATTTTCTGGTGGTGGACCCAGATTTCAGGGTCAGAGGGATGCTGGTGGATCTGGCGCTCCATGGTGCCGCCGTTGTAACTCCCGTCACCATGGTGAGTGTAGGAGAGGTTCTGGTGCTTGTTTTACGTGTGGGCAGATGGGACATCGGGCTTCTCAGTGCCCCCAGGGTCAGCAGAGACCGCAACAGACTAATATGCCACCTCCAGCACCAGTTCAGCAGAGTTTTGGACCGGGTGGTTATGGCCAGCCGAATCGTGGTGGTGCTTACCACTATCAGGGGGATGCGGCTCCGTATGCTTCCGGACCTTATCAGTATTCTCAGGAGCCTTATCCTCAGGCAGGGTATTCTCAGGATTTTGGAGGTTATTCTTCTTATTCCTCTATGCCAGCTGGTGGATCGCAGTGGCATCAGGGAGGCCAGCCCCGTCAGGGGGAAGTTGCTACGGGTGGTGCAGGATCATCCAGGCAGCTTAGTCAGCCAGGTCAGGGGCGTAATCCTCAGGGACGAGGTAATCAGGGCAATAGAGGCCGAGGTGGACGACAGCAGGCTCAGGGGCGAATTAATCATATTTCTTTGCAGGAGGCTCAGAACCATCCAGACTTGATTATGGGTACGTTGAATGTTCTTGGTCATTTTGCTAAGGTTTTGATTGATTGTGGTGCTACGCACTCTGTGATTTCTCATACGTTTGCTCAAATAACCCAACCTCACCCTTCACCTCTAGGATTTGATTTAGAGTTTGCCATGCCTAGAGGAGATAAATGTTATGTGGATAGTGTGTATCTGGGGTGTCCAGTGATGGTTGAGGGCGTGATTATGTCCGCTGATCTTATTCCGTTAGATATTGTGGATTTTGATGTAATTTTAGGGGCCGATTGGTTACACCATAATCGTGCCCATATTGATTGTTATGGTAAATCAGTTACTTTTTATCGTCCTGGATTACCCGAGGTTACTTTTGTGGGCGAGAGAAGTGGGGTGAGACATGGAGTTATTTCTGCCATGAGGGCGAGGAAATTATTATCAAAGGGTTGTCAGGGATATTTGGCACATGTGGTATTAAATGATGTTGCTCCTACTAGTATAGAAGAAGTTGGTGTGGTCAGACATTATCCGGATGTATTCCCTGATGATTTGCCGGGATTACCACCAGACAGGGAGGTGGAATTCTCTATTGATTTGCTTCCAGGTACGGACCCTATATCTCTGACTCCTTATAGAATGGCTCCTGCTGAGTTAAGGGAATTAAAAATCCAGTTGCAAGAATTACTTGATAAAGGTTTTATTCAACCTAGTTCTTCACCTTGGGGTGCCCCAGTATTATTTGTGAAGAAGAAGGATGGAACTCTTCGATTGTGTATTGATTATAGACAATTGAACCGGGTAACGATTAAAAACCGTTATCCATTGCCCCGCATTGATGATTTGTTTGATCAGCTGAAAGGTGCGTGTGTATTTTCTAAGATTGATTTGAGATCCGGGTATTATCAATTGAAGATTAAAGAAGACGATGTACCTAAGACGGCTTTCCGAACTCGGTACGGACATTATGAATTTTCGGTTATGCCGTTTGGGTTGACTAATGCACCTGCAGCTTTTATGAGATTAATGAATGAGGTATTCCAGAAATATCTTGATAAATTTGTTATTGTTTTTTTATTGATGATATTCTGGTATACTCTAAGTCCCAAGCAGATCATATCCGACACCTTAATTTGGTGTTAAGGAAATTAAGGGAGCATCAGTTGTATGCCAAGTTCAGTAAATGTCAGTTTTGGTTGACTGAAGTGGCATTTTTGGGGCATGTTGTATCAGCTCAAGGTATTCAAGTTGATCCTCAAAAGATTGCAGCAGTGGAGAATTGGGAGCAACCTCGGACCGTCACGGAGGTACGAAGTTTTCTTGGCTTAGCAGGTTATTATCGACGGTTCGTTCAGGATTTCTCTATGATTGCTTTACCGTTGACAAAGTTGACCAGGAAGGATGTTAAATTTGAGTGGGATGAGAATTGTGAGCGGAGTTTTCAACAATTGAAGTATTGCCTCACTCATGCACCGGTGTTGGTACTTCCCGACGATAGCGGTAATTTTGAGATATATAGTGATGCTTCATTAAATGGTTTGGGATGTGTTTTTGATGCAGCATAATAAGGTGATTGCCTATGCTTCTAGGCAGTTGAAAAATCATGAAAGGAACTATCCTACTCACGATCTTGAATTGGCAGCAATTGTTTTTTGCTTTGAAAATTTGGAGGCATTACTTGTATGGTGAGAAGTGTAAGATCTTCACTGATCACAAGAGTCTTCAGTATTTGTTTACTCAGCATGATCTTAATCTTCGTCAGCGAAGGTGGATGGAATTGTTAAGTGATTATGATTGTTCTATTGAATACCATCCAGGTCGTGCTAATGTAGTAGCGGATGCACTGAGTAGGAAACCTCAAGGTAGGCTTAATGCCTTATATGCGAGTCGTGTTCCTCTTCTTGCTGAATTGAGGACAACGGGGGTAAGGTTGGAAATTGAAGACCGAGATGGAGCTTTTCTTGCTAGTTTTCAAGTCAGGCCAGTTTTGGTGGACCGTATACTTGCAGCTCAGATGGTGAATGAGGAAGTTCAGGAGTTGGTTCAGTTAAGAAGTGAAGGGAAAAAGAAAGACCTCAGAATTCGGGAATCAGATGGTATGCTCATGCAAGAAGACAGAATGTATGTTCCGAATAATGAGGAATTGAAGAAGGAAATTCTGGATGAAGCACATTGTTCAGCTTATGCGATGCATCCGGGAGGAACAAAAATGTATCATACCATTCGACCATTTTATTATTGGCCGGGTATGAAAAGAGAAATTGCAGAATATGTGAGCAGGTGTATTATTTGCCAGCAAGTGAAAGCAGAAAGGAAGAAGCCCTTTGGGCGAATGCAACCCCTTCCTGTTCCCCAGTGGAAATGGGAAAATATAACAATGGATTTCGTGTATAAACTTCCTCGTACGCGAAATGGATTTGATGGTATTTGGGTGATTGTGGATCGACTCACCAAGTCTGCGCATTTCATTCCTGTGAGGGAGAAATACCCTCTGAATAAATTGGCTAAGTTGTTTATTTCGAAGATTGTCAAGTATCATGGAGTCCCAGTAAATATTATCTCCGATCGAGACCCGAGGTTTACTTCTAAATTTTGGGTGGCTTTTCAGGAAGCTCTGGGTACTCAATTACTGTATAGCACAGCTTATCATCCTCAAACTGATGGGCAATCAGAGAGGACCATTCAGACGTTGGAGGATATGTTGAGATCTTCAGTACTGCAATTTGGTGATTCTTGGCATGATCGTCTGGACTTAATGGAGTTTGCTTATAATAACAGTTTTCACTCGAGCATTGGTATGTCCCCATTCGAGGCACTTTATGGTAGGGCGTGTCGAACGCCATTATGTTGGTCTGAGGTTGGTGAACGGGTATTAGAAGGCCCTGAGATCGTGGACGAGACGACTCAAAATGTTCAGGTAATTAAGTCAAACCTGAAAGCAGCCCAGGATCGACATAAGAGTTTAGCGGATCGGCATACTACTGATCGAGTGTATGATGTGGGTGATTGGGTATTCTTGAAATTGTCGCCTTGGAGAGGTGTGGTACGATTTGGGAAAAGAGGAAAGCTAAGTCCGAGATATATTGGACCTTATGTGATCATTGAAAGAGTTGGTGAAGTTGCCTACCGGTTGGAACTGCCTCCGGAGTTATCTAAGGTCCATAATGTGTTCCATGTCTCTATGCTTCGGCATTATATTTCTGATCCTTCTCATGTGATCCCTCCTCAACCGTTAGAGATTAATCCGGATTTGACGTATGATGAGGAACCGGTCACTATCTTGGATTGGAAAGATAAGGTTCTGAGGAACAAGACGGTGAGTTTGGTAAAGGTATTGTGGATGAACCATTCTGCAGAGGAAGCCACCTGGGAGACGGAAGATCGGATGAGAGAGATGTACCCAAGGTTATTTTATGGGTACTAAGTGGTTATTTGATTGTGGGAATTTCGGGGACGAAATTCTATAAGGAGGGGAGATTGTCACAGCCCGTCCCGGGATTTCTATATCGGGGGCGTGAATTGACGTAACTACCCTTGACGGACATTCGGGTACGTGTGTGTGCGACATTATTGAATTAATTTTGTAAGTTTTGGGATTTTAATTTTGGAATTTGGAAATTTTTGTGGTTAGGGAATTGGATGGATGGTGAGGATTGTGTTGGACCACACAATCACACACACACGCACTCCCTGTCTTCTCTCTCCCTCCCGTAGCTCTCTCTGTCCCTCTCCCTCACGATCTCTCTCTTTCCCCTCACCCTATACGTACGGCCTTCACCCAAAACCCTTCAAAACTCGACGGATCGAGGCAAATAAGGTATGCATCTTCATCCTTTCGTCGTCCTGAGTTCATTGGTGCTAGTTTTAGGAAGTGAAACCTTCGATTTCACATAGATCCCGAACCTTCATTTTTGAGGTACTGTTCATGCGAACGTAAAATGTTGTGTTTCAGGAGATTTCAAGCTTGTGGTGAGCTTTAGGAGGTTCTAAGGAAGCTCGGGGACGTTCGTTGGAGAGTTTTGGACGTCGGGATCGTAGGTTTCAAGTTTGGCCGAATCTTTGGTTTTTGCAAGGTGAGATTTCGTAGTTTTTAGGCCCTAAAACAAGTCCAACGTGATTGTACACTCTTAGGGCTTCAATTTGGTATAAAATACGAAGAAAATGGGTGAAAAACGAAGGAGAATAGTGAGTTTGAAAATCGGCCGGAGTTCGGCCGGAGTCCGGCCACCGGAGAACCAGTCCGGCGAGGCCCTGCGAAGAAGACGACACGTGCGCTGCACGTGCTGCGCGTGGCCAGCGCGTGGACCCGTGCCACGTGTGGCGCGTGGGGGCGCGTGGGGCTTCCAAAAATTTTTTCTAAAAATTTCCCGACGCTCGTGACGTCGAGTAGGTCGATGTGGTATATGCATATACCAAAATTGAGCATCGTATGAGAAGTTATTTCGAATTATTGGTGATATGCTTAAAATTAATGTTTTTATAGTTGTTTCGCATATAGGTGAGACGTATCCCGAGGACGACCGCATCCAGGGACGCCACGGGGGTTACGACCCGTCGACTTATCAGTGAGTGGGCAGTTTTGTTTTCGTATTACCTATATACTATTGTTTTTCCCAGAAAAATGCTTTTATGCGAAATTATGTTTTTGAAAATGTCATGCATAGAATTATTTGGAAAATGTGAATTTCATATGAGTTATATGATTGATATATGATGCATACATGTTGCATGGTGCTGTGTGAGGCACAGGTAAGTCAGGTGAGTTCGTTTATTCATTGAATTGTTGTTGTTGAGATGTTTGAGCTCATAATCTGCACCCTAGGTGTTAGTGCTTATATTATTCACCACACCGCACGCTCGCCTTGGATCCAAGTAGGTGGATGTCGTACAGACCATGTGAGGGTTCCGACATGCTAGTCGTACAGATCACTAGGCGTGATTCCGACTAGTGGGTGACCTTAGTTATGCGCGCTGATGATATGATGAGAGAAGCACTAGAGCGTATTTTTACACCTTTCATCG